TGCCTGAACTGAGTGTGGCCAAGTTCAGAGGTCCCCAGCAATACTGGGACAAGTTCTGGGGGGGGGGTGTGGCCCACTCACACAAAGAAGGCAGAAGGGGGAGGCCAGGGGTGCCTGGGTGCCTCAGTCAGTTAAGCACCTGCTTTTGGCTCAGGTCATGATCCCCGGGTCCTGGGATCCAGCAGGGAACCTGCTTCTTCCTTTCCCTCTGCCTGACACTTTCCCTGCTTGTGCTCTCTCTCTCTGTCAAATAAATAAATAAAATCTTAAAAAAAAAAAAAAAAAGGAAGGGGAAGGTCAGCAGGAAAGGAGAGAGGGAACCAAGACACAGGTGAGACAGCATAGAGGAACTAGTGAAGAAAGGGGACAGAGATCCCCACCAAAGAGCTAGACCATCAGAGACAGAAGGATGGGTCTTTTCTGCTACTACTCCCTTCAGCATCCCAGACCAGTGCTTCCTTGTGTCTAACTAGAATGCCTCTTGCTATAGCTTGTGCTCATTTCCTTCAGTTCTATTCTCTGGACTCAGGGAGCTATATGAGCCCTCATTCAGCATGGATAAGTGGTTTTCTTGACCCCCCATCAAAGAGGCAGGAAAAAGGTCCTAATGAGGCTGGCCCCCAGTCTGGGACTTTATGATCTAGTTGAGGAGGCCAGGACCCACAGAGCTTACCAGAGATTGTTTGGGGCCAGAGTATGGGGCCTATGCCTCAGCCACTGTCCAGGGCTAGCCTTCACCACAGTCAGATCTGTCACCAGAAATCCCCCACTACAACCCTGTGCTTCTCAGGCCACTCTACTCTGGGCCCCCTCTGCCCCGATGGCCCCGGGAAGCCTATGAGCTGGGCGCTGCAGCCTCTGCCATCTGGCTCGCACTCAAGGCTGGAGCAGCTGCGCTCTGGCCCCTCCCTCCACCTCTCACCGACTCCCCCGGAGGCAGCCAGCCTGGCTCCTGCCCTATTTAGACAGATGGGAACAGAACTGGGTGTCCCTCCCATCTCTGCTGCCCTGAGGGGTGATGTGTTTCCATCTGGGACCCAGACTCTCTTGGGGAAAACATTCACATAAGCCAAGCCCACCTCCCTCTCCACCTTTGTGCATGCGTGGTCTCAGGGAATGTCGTGCTCTTGGCCTCCCTGTGGCCACAACTCCCAACTCCAGGTCAGAAGTCCCACATGCCCCTAAGGCTAGGTGTGTGGCTGCCAGTCTCCTCACTGACAGTAGTTTCGGTCATGGAGCTGTGAGGAGGGAAAGAGCTCATGCTGACAGAGTCTCAGCACAGCACCTGGCAGTAAGCCCTCGGTTAATGTGACTGCTGCCCTCTGATGTTGCCTTGGCTGGTGCCGCCTCCAGGCAGCCTTCCCAGGTTGTCCACGGCTCCTCCACTGGGTTCCCAGCACCCCTTCACCAGGCCTCTGGAGGACACTCATGCAGACCTGTCACGGCTCCTTTGTGGTCTGGGTACCTACTAGAATCTAATGCTTGGACCATGAGCACCTTGATTGCAAGGAACAGAATCTGGCCCGTTATTTCACTGAATGAATGATTTCATGAGTGACAGGTAGGCAGCTGGGAGAGACAGACTGAGAGGATAGGATGGAGCCTGCCAGGTCTGACCTTTCCAGGGCCTGTCCTAAAAGACCAGGACGCCCACACTGAGGCCTGGGGCGGGGGGTGCGGTGGAGGGAGACAACTCCCATCCCCCGTTCCATGGTCTAATGGAGTGAGCCTCGAAATGAGGCCCCATCCAGCAGTCTGCCTCACCCAGGATCTGCCGGACTCCAGCCCAGACCTGTCGTACCAGAAACCCCGGGAATGGGGCAGCATCCATTTGGAACAGGCCCTCCAGGTGACATTGAGAACCACGATCATGTGTCCCAGTGACTCCGATTCATAGGAGGCCAAGTCTCAGGGGTCTGTGCTCTGCAGAAGGCTTTGAGAAAGCCATCAGGCTAGGACCCCAGCACGTAGCTCCTGCCAGCCCCACACCCCTGAGCTGGAGACCCCTTTGCTGACAGGCCAGGTGCCATAGAGAACACAGTCCCCATAGACCTCCCCTTTCCCAAGTGGCCCCAGACCAGAATGAGTGTTTCTCCAACCTGGGCTCAAAACTAGTCCCTGCCCACTGCCACTGGCCAGCATCCTCTTAGGGCAAACCCCTGTAGCAAAATTCAGGGCAGATTTCTAGAATGTGAGGGCTAAGAAAGACCCTAGAGATTAAGGCCGCACACGTGTGCGTTCACACAGACACACGCGTGCGCACGTGCACACACGCACCCCGGCAGATGAGAAGCCTCAGATCCTGCTGGGGAGGAGTCCCCGCAGTCAGGGCTGCGCGGTCTCGCTCTCTGGGTCACGTCCTCCTCCGGCGCTTCTCCCACGCGGCCTCCTTTCAGCTCGGTCTGGCTTTGATCTGTTTGAATCGGTTAGGTTGGCACAGTACAAAATTCAAAAAGGGGGAAAGAGAATATAACGGAAGTCAGTTCCTCCCCCTGCTTCGGCTTCTCATTTCCCTCCCCGCAGGCAACCACTTGTCAGGCGTTTCTGGGGTCTCCTTCCGGAGACCAGGCAGGCGTGCGGGAGGCAGCATTTTCCAGGTGCCGTCCACATCTTGCTTCCTTCACGGAATTAGCGCATCTGTTGCCCTTTATTCTGATGGCCTGCTTTCCTGTTTCCGGGGCTCCCCTGGCGGAGTGCTCACTGAGGCCAGGTCCGTCTGCTGTTGAGCTTCCCCCCACTTCCTAGTCCAGTGCCGGCACCCAGCAGGTGTTCAGTTATGGCTGGCTCCAGCTACACATCAGAGAGCCAGCAGCTGGTGGGGGCTGCGTGGGCTGGGGCTCAGCCTCCTGGCTGCAGAGCCTTGGGTCTGTCTGTCTCACCAGAGTGGGACACCGTCCACCAGAGCCCATCCTGGCCCGCAGAAGGAGCTGAGGGGGATGACACCCAACAGTATCCTCCAGCCTGCGTGCCTCTGCTGCTGGGCCCCTTCATCCCACTTTGACTGGGGCTGGCTCAGGCATCGAGCTGGCTGTCTCTCCCCTCTTGAGCCCTCCCTTCTCAGTCCACTCAGGACTCCTGCAGGGAAATCCAGCAGGGAAGAGGCTGGAGAGAGAACAACACTCTGGCCCCATGATCATGAGGATGATGACAGGCCCTTTGCCCCTTCTCTGCCGGCTGAAGGCTCCGTCCCACTTGTTAGCCCTGAGATGAGAATTGCGGCAACATCTCAGGGTTGAAGGGAAGCCTGCAGCTTTACCTGCTTGTGGTGGGAATGTGTTTGCTCCACAACACTCAGAAAAGAGACGTGCCACTTTTTTTTCTTTTTTTTTTTTTAAATCAAGCCAGAACTGGCTGCTCAGCCCGAGATTTCGCCATGCCCTCAATCTACTGATGGAGCCCAATTCCAGAGGGAGATGGAGGTGGCTGGGGGCTGCCCAGCCCTGTGAGATTAGAAGCCAGGGAGATACTTAGCAGCAGCAATTTCTGCTCGTCTGTGGGAGGAGGGGCTTGGGTTACAGGGTTCGGAGGTAACCCTCCAGCCAAACACTCTGGGATGGAGATCAGGGGGCCAGTGAGGTCCGGCGCAGCCCACTACCAGCCATCCCTTCCTTCCACAAACATCTGTAAGGCACCGAGCTTTCACCAGCGCAGCAGAAAAAATATTAAGCAAACTTAGCCATCACAGAGCTTTGTATCCCCTAGGGGAGTCGGCCGTTTGGCATGTTATCCCGTAAATCAACATCGAATGTACCAGTTACCAACAAGGAAAATACTGGTTAGCTATGTTGAGCCATTGCTCTGTAGTAGTCACTGTTCTAAGTGAGTTGGTTCATATAATCCTCACATTCACCCAATAAGGTAGATGTTACAGATAAGAAAGCTGAGGCACAGGGAAGCTAAGATACTTGCCCCAAGACACAGAGTTTGTAAATAGCAGAGACAGGATTGGGGTCCCTAGGGACCTCTACTTAAATGTCACACTGTGTCTATCTCCTAAGAGACTCTGAGGCATGGAATGTGGGAGCTTGGCCTGGTCTGGTGTTCTTCCCTAAGGAAGCAAAAACTGAGCTGAGGTTAACTAGAGGAGAATGAGTTAACTAGTGGGAAGGAAGAACACTCCAGGTGGAAGGATCAGCATATGCAAAGGTCCTGTGGCAGCAAGAGAGAAGATGGCATGCTCCATGTATTGAGGGAAAGAAAGAAGGCCAGGGGATGAGAGAAGGGGAGAGCTGGGTAAGATGGAGCTGGAGGGATAGGCAGGTTTTGCTGGCCAAGTTAAGAAAGGTGCCAGAAAGCAGAGTTGAGCTGGGCCTGACAGGGGAGGGAGCATTCTTCCTCAGCAAGGATCTGGAGGCCTTTCCATAAAGGAAAGGAATGGAGAAAACAGAGAAAGCCAAGGGCTTTGAGGAGATGAGGGGCCACCCATCTGCTAGGGCTGAGGCTTCTTGTAAGGATGTGGAAGAGATAAGACTAGAGGGGTCCCTGGGGCCAAAAGGCCTCCCCCTGGAGCAGGCCAGGAGCCAGGAGCTCAGGTGTTGAAGGAGCAGAGCCATGCGAAAGCCAGAACTGGACTCCTCGACCCTGAGTTCACGTTTCTCCACCTACAAGCCTGGGATCGGGGACCCCTGTGGCCTTCAGTGTGATCGTCTCTCACCCCCCGCCCCCAGGAGCCAGCAATGGGGTATCAGTCTGCTGCTGAGAACTCCTTCCCCTCCTCGACGCTGCTGGTCCGCAGCACACAGCGCGAGCCCAGGAGGAGGCGTCCTCCTTCTTTCCACTTATAAATCTATGTGCAGGGCATTTCATTGATGGAGAGTGACTTGAAGTCGGAGCCCCAGCTGCAAGGAGGTGCTGGACGGGTCACGTCTCACTTTCTAGCTTGTAGAGGGCACGTCTGCTAGAACGAAGGCCATTGGCCACACCTAACACACAATCTGATAGATTTGTCAACCGAGGGGATGCTAGTTAAGAAGCCTGGCGCTGTGCCTGGCACATGGAACTCTCTCAGTAGATGGCAGCTGTTCGGACGGGGTCCAGGGCCCCGCTGCCCGGTCCTGCCCGCAGAGAGCCCCATAAACGTCCTGCTGCTGCTTCAGCGGCTGCAGCTTCAGGGCTGGTGGGGGAGGGGGTAGGCTGACCTCGGCACTAGGAAAAGGACAGCAAAGGCAATAAGCGACATTCACGGGGCTCACGGTTTCTACCAGAGTCTCTCCCTACTCTCCCCTTGGACTGTCCTAGCTGCCCTGAGGTAGGCAGAACAGAGGGGATGGTGTCCCTTTCTTTAGAAGTATTTTCTTAAAGATTTTACTTATTTATTTGAGGGAGAGAAAGAGAGAGCACGAGCAGTGAGGAGGGGCAGAGGGAGAAGCAAGCTCCCTGCCGAGCAGGGAGCCCAATACAGAACTCGATCCCAGGACCCAGGGATCATGACCTGAGCTGAAGACAGACGCTTAACCAGCTGAGCCCTGATTATGTACATTTTATGGAAGAGAAAACTGAATACCAGTAGGTTAAATTGCAGTCAATAGAGCCAGATCACACCCATTACCCTGACCCCAAAACATACGTTCCCTCTACTTCATGCTGTGATCCAGGGAGCCAGACTTGGTAACCCCCAGTGTGCCGGCCAGACAGGGGGGTGGGGGGGATGGGGGTGTAAAATGAGTGACTAATGTTAGGCAAACATATGCAAATCACATTTTATTATTTCCTGCTCCTGAGTATGGCCCTGGGGGCAGGCCCTTCTGTCTTTCATTGAGGCCTCCGGCATGCTGGTCATTGTGGGAGAACCACAATGATGGGGGCTGTCATCAAGGGACCTGTTAGGAAAACTGGCTGCTCACATCCATGGAAAAGCAACAGAGCACCAGGCAGTGATCGCAAAGGCCAGCCGTACAAAGAGGGTGGGGACAGAGTTCAGACCAGGCTGCTCGCAGGAGGGTGGAAGGCTTCGGGGATAGGACTGGAGCTGGCCCCCGGGGTTGTAAAGGCCCCAGCCAGCCCCAGGGTGGGGGAAGTGGCACAGCTCGGGGATACCTGGGGACAGGACAGATAGCAGGCCTGTTGCCCCACGAACTGGCTAAGCCAGTGACCACAGGCACAGGGAGAAACGTCAAGCGGTGAGAAGTGGTGTGGCCTCTGCAGACCTCCAGCCAACCTCCCCCAGATTCCCACAGAGCCGAGGGGCAGGGGAGACCTGAGAGCAGACTGCAAGGACCCGGGTCCTGAGCTGCCACCCCGTATGGCCGCATTGCCTCCCCCTCCTTCCTTTCAGGGGAGGCAGCAGACCTTTTAGATCTGCAGGAATGCCTTACCTAGATGCAGATAATCCTGGGGACCCTAAGCCGCTGTTTCTCCATCTCAGCTGCACCTAAAAATGGACTGGATGTTCTTGTTCTTAGGGTCTGGAGTGGGGCATGAGTGTCTGATATACAAAACACCTTCCCGGGGTCTCCCACCCCCAGCCCCAGGTGGCGGAATCATCCATCCAAGCCTGAGAGCGCTGAATGGGGAGCCAGGAAACCCAGTTCTGATGCCTGTTCCACCACTTTCCCCAGCCTTAGGCAAATCTCATGGCCTGCCGCGACCATTTCTTCACGTGGAACGTTGGGCGAAACCCCCTTCACTGTGACAATATGAGGAGACGGAGATTCAGGGCAGGGAAGATTCATGGCCCGCTGGTGTGGTGGCTGGGGAGGGACATTACCCAGAACCCTCACTGCAGTGACCCCGCTTCCCTCCTCCCTCTCCCTGGGGCCCCCAGAGAACCTGCCGCAAAGTGGACCCTGGAAAGGGGGATGCAGATCTGAGAGCAGAGGGTGTGGAAGGGATACCAAGTGAGACCCAGAGAAGAAGGGGAGGTGGTGGGTGCCCATGGCCGGGGGCTCCAGTTCATTTCAGGTCCAAAACCATGGCAAAGCATCTCTCCTGTTGTTGCCAGAAAGGTGATGAGTAATTGAAGGCTGAGAGAAGCCCAGATGGTGGGGGCTGGGGAGCAGATGCTGTGGCTTTCTGCACTCCAAGGGGGACACGGTTGGAGGAGGAGGCGGGGGATGGCCTCCCCACCCAGCTTCTTGCCTTAGGATGTGCCTTTGGCCTCTAGTGATTTGCTTGTCCAACCAAGTTGCAGGCCTCTGGGTCTGTGCCTAAGAACCCACAAGGATGGTGGCTTTGGGCAGTGCTGAGAGGCATAGACTGGGTGGCAGCAGGCTGTGTCTCAGAGATATCCACAATCCTTGGTCCAGCCTGGCCCTTGGAGAATTCCCACAGAAACCCCTCATCTTACAGGCAGAAGCCCAGAGAAGAGAAGGCCACAGGTGACCCCTGGGGCCCCAAGTCCATGGCAGTTTCCACTGTGCCACCCTGCAAGGCTGGACAAGGTTCCAGCCCCGGGCAAGGGCTTGCACAAAGTCACCCCCTTCCTCTGCCCCCTGCCCAGCACTCCAGCCCAGTAGAGGTCAAGAGGGTCCAGGAGGAGGGAGCAGAGGATTACAAACTGTTCAGGTTCAAGCCTCCCACTTACTAGCACCATGACCTTAGCCAAGTTATCGAACCTGTCTGGGCCTTAATTTTCTTAATTTTCTCTTGCATCAGGGATGATTTTGGTACCCTGTGGTACTTGTGAGAATTAAATGGGCTATACTTGAATGGGAAGATTTCCTCCTATAATAAGTGCTCATTAAATGTTGGCTATTAATAAGATTGCTCTCCTCCCTCTCCCCCCCCAGCCCCAGGGCTCCTGGACCACCCTCGCTCTGGGATTTGGGGGATTTGGGTTCCTCATGCAGAGGACTTGGCCTTGAGATGAGGAGACGGGCGAAAAGTGCTGGCCTGGCTACTTAGGACAGCAGTGGCTAAAACCAGGCCAGGTCTGGAAGGAAGCGGGTGAGCAAAGGGCCACAGGACTAATAAAGACTGAGCTAGTTCTTTACGAAGCCCACTTGCTGAAGTAAATCTTGTCCAGGCCTGGGATTGCTAAGGCTTCAGGTTCTGCCATTGGAGGCTGGGCTGGGGGAGAAATGGGAAAGGAGGAAGACCGCACATTCCCCATCAGATAGGACGCGCAGCTGAGGAGGGGGCTGAGAATCCTGACTCACCAGCCAGCATTGCCACCGTCTCACCCTGCCCCTCGCTGGCCCAAAAGGCAAGGCTGACATTTGTGTCTCCTGCACAGGAAGGACAGAGGCAACAACCACCTATAGGCAGCAGCTTATGGGTTATTGGACAGTCCTTCCCATATTCCAGATCTCTCCCCTGGCCTATTCCAGAACAGAGTAGGTGGATGGAAACCAGGAATGGTCCAGCCTGGCTCCTCACCACCGTGTCACAGATAAGCTAGTGTCAATGACGACAGTACGGACTAATAGCACATTTTCTCAAGTGCTCTGCAAAGGGCTTTGTGTGATTTCGCTTGTTTCATGTTCGCAATAACCTTGTGAGGCTGTGCTTCTATTAGCCCCACTTTCCAGAGGTGGAAACTGAGGCTCACAGAGGTGAGGTCGCTGTCCATGGTCACACAGCTAACAGGGCTGGACCTGGGATTTCAGCCCAGACAGTCTGGCTTTAGACAGCCCACTTCCTCCCACGGCCCTGATCACCTCCCTGTGCTCTGCTGTGAAATTCGTGCCCAAAGAGGAGTCCCCTGCTGCCCCCTGCTCCAGCCAGATGGGTGCCGCCACTCGGTGTTCCTTTATATCCCGCAGATTGCAAGTTTTGTTCTTTCCAGTGCCGATACTTTGGTCTCCAGAAAGCCCTCTACCCCTGTTCTTCACACCCAAGAGCTAGAAAGAAGGAAGGAGGAAAGCTCTCCAGAAAGGAGTGTCCAGGCACAGTCTAGGGGCGAGGACAAAGGCGGGGCAGTGCTCTGGGTCTCTACAACAGCCTCCCTCATCCCACCTGTGCCTGCTGCTGAGGACGCTGGGGAAGGTGCTGAGGTGGGCATGAGGCTCTCTTCTCTCTTGTCCTTCCTCACCACCTTCCCTCATCTGCTTCCCTCATCTGCCTCACCTTCTGGCATGCTGTACCTGCCGAGCCCTGTCCATGGGTTACACCCCCTTCCAGGCTTAGAGGCTTGCACCTTTTATCTGGAGCCCCTCCTGGGGAGAATGGCCACCCAGGCCATGCCTCTCCCAGCAGCAATCCTCTCCCTAAATCCCAAAGGCTGGGAACCCCCTGAAGAGGACCTGGCAAGAGTCACTATGCTGCCGGTTCTTGCCGAATTAATATAAAAGCAAACAAAGCACGAACCAGTGATCCACCCTGTGCTCTAGCCATGACTGTTCGGTTTTACCTTCCCCAAAACGCCATGCTCTGGGTCTTGGCCAACATGGTTCTCCTCTGTCCACGCTTCCCACCACACTGTCCCGATTCCTCCTCCTCGCATCTCACCCGGAGGTGACTTCCTTGCAGAAGCCTCCTCTGGCCACTCGACGTGGGCCCGCCCCATGGCCTCCTTGCCCTGGGCCATCAGGCGAGGGTGTAGTGGCATATGCCTGGCGTGCCAACACGTCTCCCCGCTGAGTCTGAGAGCCTCATATGGACAGAACCAGGTCGGCTGGGCCCCCAGAGCCTGGCAGGATGGCTGGCACATGGTAGGGACTCAGCCCTTCTTTGTGGAAGGAAGGGAGGAGGAGGGAGGGAGGAGAGGGGGTGCTTTTGGAAGGAGAGAGAATGAGTGTGTGGGAGCTAAGTGGAAAAGAGCAGCAGCAGGACTCAAACCTCCTTAGAGCCAGATGGAAGCCGGAGCTTTTCCCAGCCCGGGACGCCCCCTTCCCTCATCATGCACGGTATTACCCAAATAACAAGTCACTCAACCCGACAGCTGGGCTCCTGGTCACTGGGCGCTCTCACCTCCCTGGTCTGGCTCCAGTCCCCCAGACAGCCCTGACGGGGGGAGGGGCGGGGGGGTCCCAGCTCTTCCCCTCAGTTTAAAGATGAGAGTCCAACAAAGGATGCCAGGCAGCTGGATAGCCACATGCGAAAGATGAACTTAGACCCTCACCTCACCTCCTGTGCCAGCCTGAACTCAAAGTGCATCTCAGACTTTAGTGTCAGAGCTACAACGATGTGATTTTTTAGAAGAAAACATAGAAGGTCTGTAAGACTTTGGGGTAGGCAAAGATTTCATGGACACCATACTAAAAGCCGGGTCCATAAAAGAAAATCTGTTAGGGTGCCTGGGTGGCTCAGTTGGCTAAGCAACTGCCTTCCGCTCAGGTAATGATCCTGGAGTTCCAGGATCGAGTCCCACCTCAGGCTCCCTGCTCAGCAGGGAGTCTGCTTCTCCTTCGGACCCTCTCCCTTCTCATGTTGTCTCTCTCTCAATTAAATAAATAAAATCTTTAAAAAAAAATCTGTTAAATTGGACTTTGTCAAAATCCCAAACCCTGGTGCTTCAGAGATACCAGGAAAAAAAGAAAAAGAAAAGAGGAGCCACAGACTGAGAAAAACTATGGGCGAAACACGCCTGTGATAAAGGCTGAGCATCCCGAGCACAAAGATGAGCAAAGACGCCCTAAGGGCTGATGCGGCCCGCGAACACAGCCTGGGTCCCTAACTCTGGTGTCTCCACCGCCTTTGTCCTCTTGCAGCTGCCGCGGAGCTGAGCGGAGCCCCCGGGCCTGACTCGGCCCCTCCCTGGAGAACCGACTCAGGTAAGGACCCGCTCTCCGAGGCCTTCGGATCGCGCCTGCGTGCCCCGGCCCTTCCCCAGCGGCTTCCTCAGCGCGGGCTCCCCCGGGTGGCCACTAGCAGAACTGCAGCTCCCTGCCGCAGCTGCCGGAGAGATGCCCAGAGAAAGGCTACTAGCTACTCGGGCTACTCTGACAGAAGGCTAGAGTTTAAAGGTACCGTGTTCAGTGTAAACCATTTTAAGTTTACATTTAGCTAAGCATGATTGTGTCAATAAATTGAGACGTGACCTGGAGTAATAAAACCGTGGGCAACCTAGGGCAGAAAGAGAGGGGAGCAGAAAAAGATAGGCAGGAGGCTCCCTGCTCCGGTTAGATGCTAATCTAGCTGGAAGGAGGGTGAGTTCTGGTGTTTTCCTATTTCTGCGAGTTAGCACAGGGAGCCCCACACCCCCAGGCCACCTCCCCTATCCTGCACACCTGTCCCTTCACCTTTATGACTCTTTTCATCCCTATCCCCCAAGCCTCCCCAACTCCGGCCAGCATTCCACGGTGTCCCCTGGAGCCCTGCGTCAACTTTTCATCTGACAAGTGTCTTTGGAATACGTCTGTGTTCCAGGCATTGCTCTCCGTGACTGACGAATCTTAACGCACCTGTCCCTCTTGACAGCACTGTGAAGTGGGTACTGGTTACTAACACTCCCCCCTCCTTTTACAGATGAGCAAGTGAGGCAGGGAGACTGGAAGTCACTTGCTTGAGGTGGCTAGTGAGTGTTGGAACTGGGATTCAGTGCCACAGAGCCTGCAATGCCCAGAAACACCCCAGCTTCTGCAGTGCCTCACCTGCCCACTGGGACCTGAAACCAGAGACTCCCCAGGATAGGACTTCCCATACCCCCCTCCAAAGCCAGTGGATTGGAGATACATCTTCCTCACTCCTCTTTGCAACGTCCAGACTCTTCTTCCTTCCTCCCTGCTGAAGGCTCCGTCTTGGACCCAAAGTGTTAGCCTAGAATCCCACACCCCATCTTGGGTACAGGCACCAACTAACCCCACCCCCAACCAGGTCACTCCCCTCCTTCCCGGAGGTGTTCCATTCATCACACCAGTGCTGTGCCGGTCTTCATTCTTAAAGATTTCCACAAAGGACACTCCAGCCTCTCCGTTCCTTGACATCACTCCCCCACTCACGCCATGGTCATGCCCTAGACCTTCTCACTACCCATAACGAATCCCTTCTCGGTCTCAGCGTCACACAGTTCAGTTTCCTATCTGTCAGCTCACAGCCTGTGGCACTTGACAATTCTACCTCCCTGGACCCCTGGCACCTGTCACTATCCCTCGCCCAACGTGCGTCTCCTTTCTCTCCTTACCTGGCCAGTCAGTAAAACTATTCCCTTACATTCAGTGCCAAGCCTCTTATTCTCATCTTGGGGAAACCTCCAGCCTGTTTAGGTCAAGCTGTGCGCCCCTTCCACACCTGCAACCGCACAGATGAGTACAGCGGGGGACATGCCCAGTGAGTCTGGCTGCTCTTGCTGTCGATTCAAGACCACGAACTTCAGCAGACCCTTAGGGCTGCCCGGCAGTCCTCCCAATTCCCGTCCTCCATTCACTCCACCACTCCTCTAGCTTTCTATTTCTGCCTTTTTTCCTGTCCGCAAACATCCCACATCTGCCCACCACCACCAGCATCGCACAGTCACCTTGAGACCTTGTTCTCTCCAAGGCTGAGAAATAGAAGCTGTGGGAGGGCCCGCCCACGAGCCCCGCCAGCACACCTGCCTCCCTCCTGCTGTCGTGGGTCAGTATCCAGCTCTGGGCCAAGGCCAGCTTCACTTGGGCACCAGTTCCCAGCCCTTCCCACGTCCTCACAGTGCTCCAGCGATGCCCTGTCTCTCCCACATCACCAGCTTTTCATTTTCTACTGGACCATTCCCCTTGGCATACCCCATTCTGCTACTTCTCTCATCCTAACCACTTCCAAACTCTCATTCCTTTTTGAAGGAGCTGTTCACGCCCACTGGCTCCAGATCTGCTGGCATCCTCCTCTCTCACACCTGTTCCAGTCTGGCCACAGACTAAACCTCCACGTTGCTTTAACGATGGCTGATTCCCAGTTGTCCTTTTACGTGGTCCCTCCCTCCTCCTGGAGACACTTAGCTTCCGGGACACCACCCTCTCCTGCTGTTCCTCCTTCTTCCCTGGACGCTCTTCTAGTCCCTTTCCCGTGTCTTCCTCCTCTGTCGCAGCTCTCTGCACTGGAACACCCCGAGGCTCAGACCTTGAGCTTCACCCTGTGCCCACTCCTTTGGCGATCCAGTCCTACGCCTCTAGGAGTCCTCTCTCTGCTGCTGATGCTCCCATTAATGTCTCCCGACCCTCCTCTGAGCTGTAGACTCAGCTCCAGCCATCCGCCTGGCATGTCCACTTAGTATATCCAGCACCCGGCTCCTGACCGCCTCCCACCCTGCACTTCCGGCTGTCACACCCAATAACAGCGTCTCCCCTCTTCTGGTTGCTGGACCTGGAGACCTCAGAGTCATCCTGGACTCCTCTCTTTTACACCCTACCTGCCACCATCCATTCTATCAGCAAGTCTTGGCTTCACCTTCAAAATACTTCCAAAATCTGAGCACGTCTCACCACCTCCTCTGTTTCCATCCCAGTCCTGGCTGTCGTTACCTCTTGCCTGGATTGCTACGATTTCCTCCGAACTGACCTGTTTCTATTCCTCTGCTTGGTCCACCCCTCTGTATTCTCAAACCAAGGGTCAGAGTGATGCCTTTCATACGTTTGCTGATGCACCACCAGCACCGGCCTGACACAAGGCACCTGCTCACTACATACTTGTTGGGTGAAGGAAGGAAGCAATGAACCTACTTTTCTTGAACGGGAGTAAAGACCTCCTAGGGTGAGACATGGTCTGGAGCCAAAACAAATTATCTTTAAAAACCAGAACAACTTTGGAGATAACTTCATGCAGCTCCTAGTCACTCCCCGTTTTCTTCGATGCTTCCCAATCTTCTCCAAGTCTGGAGAATATTGATGCCCATGACCCTGAGCCCTCACCAGATTGGCTCAAGTCCCTGGGCAGGTGCCAATCTCCCTGGTTCAAGTTCAGCATTAAGACAGTGACATTTACCAAGTCACCACTCTGTGCCGGGTGCCCTGCCGCTTTCCCTCATTTAGTCCTAGGAACCTTCTTTTGCTGGAAACTGGATCAGAGAATCATAGGATGTTAGACCCTGTCTGCACAGGCGTCCCGTGAATGCACTTCTCTTCTCCAAACGGAATACTCCCACTCTGGGGTCCTACCCGCCTTTGTGAAGTTTGTCCATGCAAGAAATGTTATGCAAGAAAAGCTTCACAAAAGTAGGAATAAGAAGATCCATTTGGAGGTGCATTTGACAACTCTTTCAGTAAAGGGATCTGGGCTCTTCTGCCGTCATGGCTCTGGGTTTGGGGCAGCTGCTGTCCTATGGGATAAGGCTGCATGGCATCTCAGGGCTGAGCCTCCCGCCCTGACCCGTTCCAGTCTGGCAATGGGCACGCAGTGTGCCCCGCCTCATCTCCCTGGCAGGCTTCTGTGCTTACAGAGCGAGAGGGTCTCTTGTCTGACCTGAGCGTCCCTTTGTCACCAGGAAGCTCTCAGGATGACTGTCCCACCGGGCAGCCTGAACACGATGGAAAAGACTCAGAACATGACATCGAATGAATGCTTCCCTTCCCGGAGCACCGTCTTGCAGGGACAGCCTTTTGGGGGCATCCCCACTGTGCTGTTCCTCAACATCTTCTTGTGGGTGGTAAGTCCTGGGCTCCGTGGGGGGTGGTGAGGCCTCGGCGAGGGGGTGGGGGGGAGGCGGGGGCGGGCACAAGTGACGCAGCAGGGGCCTCAGTGCTCCAAGTGCACGCCAGCCACAGCAGTGGGGACTTCCTAAATGGCAGTCCCGTTCGGGCAGTCCGGGAAGAGGGGACTGCGGGCAGAGGCAGAATTCCTAAGACTCCCTTCCCCGAGCTGCTGCCCAGAGACCCCACCTGGCCAGTGCCCTCGGGCCTCCCTTCTCTCTCCCCTTGCTGATTTCTTCAAGGAATGTTCTCTCTCTCTCTCTCTTTAAGATTTTATTTGAGAGAAAGAGTGCACACAAGCAGGGGTAGGCGTAGAAGGAAAGAGAGAAGCAGACTCCCCGCTGAGCAGGGAACCCCATGCGGGGCTCGATCCCAAGACCTTGGGATCATGACTTGAGCTGAAGGCAGACACTTCACTGAGCCCCTTCAAGGAATGTGCTTGTCAGATAGTTCCAAACATGACACCAAAGCTGTCAGTAGCAAACTCTGAGAATTCACTCTGTGCTGGGGAGCCATCCAGAGTTGAAGAAGGCGTAGCCTCCACCCTAACAGGGCTGGATGTTGGGGGGGGTGCCCAGGGAGCCCTTGGGAGCCTGAGGGATAGGGCCTACTCCATGGTGATGCAGGAGACAGCCAAGCAGAAGACGTAGCCCCACATCCCCTTCCCTGGCCCATAGGTCATCATTTTGGTTTACTCCTTCCTCCGGAAAGCCGCGTGGGACTACGGGCGCCTGGCTCTGCTGATCCACAATGACAGGTGAGGGGGGCCTGGGGGTCAGGATGAGCAAGCTGCTTGCCTCCTTGGGGGATGTGCTGCCACAGCCAGGACCCAGCAGGTACCCTCTCGGCACCCACTCCTGCCCTGCAACTGGCCCTCCTTGCAGGAAGAGAACGTGGTTGGGGGTGGGGGGTGGGGGG